AACATTCCAGTGGTGACGCATTTCATCTCTTTTTCTCTGTTCACCTGCATGAAAAGAGATAGGATTTTTCTAGGTCAAATGAGATAATATATGAAACAAAAATAAAATATATAGAATTATTTATGAAATTTTTTTACGTGAAACGAATGAAAAATGCCGTTACGTTTGACACAACTCAGAGTAGTTATTTGCTGTTTGATAACGCATTTATTGAGTTAAATAATATTCAGCAAATTCAAGCAAGCAAATAAAACTATAAACAGAAGTGCCATAGCATGCAAATTGGCGACTCGCCGATTACCAGGAACTGAAAAGGGTAAATGACGATTTGTGAAAATGGCGTATTTTTCGATCGGGCGTTTCACTCGCTGTTAACTCCCGGCTGCGGCGGAGTCTATTAAAACAGCGTGAATAGCCATAACGAACGTAAATCGATCATTTGAAGCACGGAACTTGTTTCCGGCTACAGTAATACTTTCAGCCGACCATATGCAGCAGCATTTTAATTATGATAAGGGAAGATATTATGTTTCTAATCTTTAACGAGCAACTTTCTCTTTGCTTGACTAATCGATAGGAGGGCAAACGATCGTTTGAGCGTCCGGGAAAACTTTTTCGCTTTTCCTGGCTGAAGCTTGTTGCAGCTGTTGGATTGCTGTTCGAAAACGCTCGGCTAGTTTAAAGACACATGGTTTCGTAAATCGCTGGAACTCCGAAAGACTGGATAACTGAATAATGGTCCTCAATCGATTGCCTCGTTTATTTTTTCTTTTAGTACAGCTCATTAGATTTTCTCTGTGAAACGTTTTTTGGGTGGTTCTTGCGCCGTCCCGCTCGGCTCACATTCACTCAGTCAGATGTAAAGTGCGCAGCAGTTTCAAGCAGGCGACGAAAATGCGGGAGCAAACTAACATGGGGTCTGGCAATGAATCAGACCACTTCAAGAATAATGACCAGTGCCGGTGATCATGCAGATCGATCAATGAAAGCAAGGCATTATGAGAGATTACAGTATTTAGAAAATGTTCTGGCTTTGTGGATGGTTGCTTAAATGTACAGATAGATCGAAGTTGGAGCGGGAAGTTCTTTTTATACCGAAATCTCCTTGCATCTAATCAAATTAAATCATTATCAATAAGTACTATCCGCAAGACATGCTAAGGGTATATATCCTAACCAAATAAGCATTGCAGCGGATAAATTCTGAGAAACGGACT